TGTCCAAGGCCAGGCTGGACAGGGCTTGGAGCAACCTGAGCTACGGAACGTGGCCCTGGGTGGCATTTAAGGTCCCTTCCCACCCCCACCATTCCAGGATTCCATGAATGCTCAGGAGCTGCCACATCCAGCCTCTCCAACAGGGTAAACTTCTTCCATGAGCCATGTTCCTCAGAAACTCCTCCCAAAGCTACCCTGCCCTGCTGGATCCAGGGAATTCCTGTGCCTGGCTGCCGTGGCGATCTCTTGTCCTGGCACAGGCTGAAGGTGGCCAAAAACATGGAAAAAAAGGGATTTTATGGTTAGAAGGAACAAGAACAAAGGGTTCACCTCCTTCTCAGTATGATTTTTTTCCCTTTGGGAAAAGAGGGAAGCCTGGAGAGGTCAGAGCTCTGGGAATGCCCAGCAGAGACCCAGGAGAAGCTGAGGAGATTCCCATGGAGTGGGGACTCACTTGCCATGAACGGCTTCCCAGGGCTTTGCTCCGGCAGCTGGAGCACCCTGGACAGTCCTGGCCAAAGCAGAGAGAAAAACAGGAATTTCCAACACTGAAACCAAACCACACCAGCAGTTGGATCCTTCCAGGGGGGCAGGGACAGGTCCTGCCCTCGCTGTCCCTTCCCCGGAAACGTCGGAATCCTCCGGATTTATTCCAATTCCTCCTTATCTCTTTAATTAATGGCTCTGTGTAAACCTCAGGTAAAGCTGGAGCCCGTCCTGTGCCATCCCGAGGGAGCTGCTCCCCAAAACCCCCCAGGTACAAACACCTGGGTGGGAATTCCCACGGGTGGCACTTCCCGGGTCCCCGAGCCGGGGCCGGACCCTCCTCGGCTCAAGCGGAGCCCGACATCCTCCCCGGCCACATTCCTGAGGGATCAGCAGAGCTGGAGGAGGTGGTGCCAGCCCTCCCCGTGTGTCTGGCAGCTCCAGGCGTGTCCCAGTTCATCCATTCCCAGGGAGATCCCCTCGGGAGCCAGGGGGAGGGTTGGGTGAGGCGTGGGGACCTCGGCACAGTCTGGGGTGTCCCGGCTCCATCCCGGCTCCATCCCGGCTCCGTCCCGGCTCTGTCCCGGCTCCCCAGGGCTCCCAGCTCAGTAGATCTTCTGCCTGCTGGGCAGGATGGCCTCCTTGATGAAGGAGAAGATGAGCAGGATCCCGGAGCGCTTCCCTCTCTTGCCCTTGGTGAAGTAGTTGGACACCACGTCGTCTGCGGGAAGAGGGAGGGAATCACAGCCAGCCCCGGGAATGCCACAGGACCCCGGGGATGTCCCACCGACCCCCCCGCGTGTTCCACCCGCTGCAGGGAGCACAAAGCCTTTCCTGGCACGTAGGGGGGATCCAGGGAAGTGACAGCACTTGGGAATGGCGTGGCTGCTCCATCCCTGGAGTGCCCAGGGCCGGGCTGGCCGGGGCTTGGAGCAGGGCATGTCCCTGGGGCTGGAACCGGGAGGGCTGGGAGGTCCCTTCCCACCCCAGCCCTTCCAGGAGCCCGTGGCTGAAGGGCTGCAGGATGAAGCCGGGTTTCCCTGCCCTCCTCCCCCCCAGCCCAAGGAGGGAAGGGGGTGCAGGGAGCCCTCGTGTCCCGCCCTGTCCCTCCCTGTCCCCCCTCACCTCCGGGCTGCACCGTGGAGGGCAGGACGTTCTCCCCGGCCGACAGCGACACGAAGAAGGCGAAGGGGATCAGCCAGAGGCAGAAGGTGAAGTAGGCCAGGACCTGTGGGCAGAGCAGCCCAAATTCCCACCTGGAGCCCGGCACAGGGCCCTGGGGGCGGGACCTGCCCCGGGAGAAGGGACAAAGCACCCAGCTCCGACAGGCAGGGGCAGGGCAAGCCCAAAGCTCTCCTGCTGCCACCTTTCAGGAGCACATTAAACAGGCAGGTCATTAGCCCTGCTGTTGGGACTAATTAAATCCTCTCCACGCCTCCCAGGGAATGAAAGGAAGAGGGAAGAGCTGGGCTGGCTCCTCCTGCCCCAGGGTTCTCGTTCCTTCTAACCATAAAATCACATTTTTCCCGTATTTCCTCAGGGAGAGACGAGCCTGGAGGTGCTGAGCCACCAACTCCCTCCCCAAACTTCCCTAAAGAGATGGTTTTTTATTTATTTTGGTGACTTTTTCAGTTTGTTTTCAGAATTTGCACCAGGCAGCAGCAATCTGGGGAGGGGGGGCCCAAAGAAGCCCCTTGGGGACTGTGGGCCTTTGCCTTGGCAAAGGACCTGAGGATGTGACATGGAATTAAGAGCATAAAAGACACAGAAGTGAGGAGCAGTAACTCCAAAAGGGAAGTGATTTGGGGTTAGATTGCAAAAAAAAAAAAAAAATTTGCTATTTTTCCTAGCTTTTAGGATTTCATGAAAAAATAAAAATAGGTAAATAAATAAAAAATAATTTATTTAAAAAAGAAATTATAAAAAAAGAAATAACCTGTATTTGTGCTTGGAGTCGGCTGGGAAAGCCCCAAACCCACACCTGGAAGAAGAACCTGCAGATTCCCAGGTACCTGGGAGGGAACAAGCTCAAGAACCCCCAGGGATGGGCTGCAAAAATAACCCTGGGAGTGCTGGAGCTGCTGACCCAAAAACTGGCATTCTCCTCCCTCCCTCCCTCCCTCCCTCCCTGGCAGGAGCGTGGGAGAACAGGGATCAGCCTCCCCCAGGTCTCACCTCAGAGAACAGGTAGAACTCCTCAGCAAAGAACTGGAACGCCAGGTAGTGATTGAGTACGACCAGCACTGCGGGGGGACAGCGGGCTCAGGGACTCCCACAGGGAGACTCCTGCAATGAGGACACCCCCTGCCCCTCCCCACAGCCCCCCACACCCCCGTCCTGCTCGGCCTTGCAAACACCTCCATGGTGTGAGCAGAGACCCCCAAACTGCGGGGCACTCTGAGGCCTCGGGGACCCCAAACTCGGGGATGTTCCTGGGGGGGGTTTAAGGTCCCTCCCAAGCCAACCCATTCCCGGATTCTGGAGCCCCTCTGCTCTGGAGCCAGGCTGGGAGAGCTGGGGGGGTTCCCCTGGAGAAGAGAAGGCTCCAGGGAGAGCTGAGAGCCCCTGGCAGGGCCTAAAGGGGCTCCAGGAGAGCTGGAGAGGGACTGGGGACAAGGCATGGAGGGACAGGACACAGGGAATGGCTTCCCAGTGCCAGAGGGCAGGGACAGATGGGATATTGGGAAGGAATTCCTGGCTGGGAGGGTGGGCAGGCCCTGGCACAGGTTGGGCAGAGAAGCTGTGGCTGCCCCTGGATCCCTGGAAGTGTCCAAGGCCAGGCTGGACAGGGCTTGGAGCACCCTGGGCTAGTGGAAGGTGGCCCTGGGTGGGATTTAAGGTCCCTCCCAACCCAGACCAGTGTGAGTGGAAGCAGAGGGTGCCCAAGAAGCCCAGCATTCCCAGGAAAGCCCGGCATTCCCAGCTCCACACCCCCCCACAATGCCCAGATCGATCCCAGCCACATCAGCACCTGCCATTAAAGTGCCACCTGAAGCTCAAAGTCCTTCCCAGGCAGGGACAGCAATTCCCAAACCTCTGCTGCCCCCCAGAGCCCCCTGGGGATGACCCAGAGCCCCCCTGGGATGGGGGGACGAGGCTGCCCCCCCCCCTCCCGCTCTCCCCCCCTGTTTCCCACCCCCCATGTGGGAACTGCCCCCTCACCGCAGGACAGGATGAAGTTGGAGGAGGTGAGGACGATGAAGGGGAAGGTCTGGAGCAATCCAAAGTACACCAGGTTGGTGAAGAGCCCCACGCCCACCAGGAACCCCGGGAAGTGCTCGAACAGGTACAGCCCCACCAGCACGGCCGAGGAGAACTGCGGGGAAAGGGGTCAGCTGGGGTCAGCTGGGGGGGCACGGGGATCTGCCACGGTGGGTTTGGTGCCACATCCCCCATGTGCCTCCCACCCCGGGCAAAGGTCCCAGTGGGAATCCCGCCCTGCTCCTGGCGGGACACTCCTGGATTCCCCATCAGGGGGAACAGGGGTCACCCGGGCCGGGGCAGCACCCCCGTGTCCCCAGGTGGGATGGCACTGCCACCCTCCCTCCCTCTGGGAATCAGGAGCTTCCCACGCGCTCTTCCCCCATCCCACGGCACAGCCGCTCTGCCCTCCCGGGGGGTATTTCGGCCCCAAGTCCCCCCAGAAGTCCCCGCTGGGACTCACCCAGATCATGTACTTGATGATCCTCCTGGTGACCACCGTGTACTCCTCGATCAGCTCCGCCAGGTAGTACAGCCCGGCCGCTGCGGGGACACCGGGATCAGCACCGGGATCGGCACCGGGATAGGCACCGGGATCGGCACCGGGATCGGCACCAGGATCAGCACCGGGATCGGCACCGGGATCGGCACCGGGATCGGCACCGGGATAGGCACCGGGATCGGCACCGGGATCGGCACCGGGATCGGCACCGGGATCGGCACCGGGATCGGCACCGGGGGTACCCCCCACCTCCCAAAACAGCAGCACAGGGCGCCTTGGGGACACTCGGGGACTGCTGGTCCCCTGGACACCCAGGGACCACAAGAGACCCCCAGTCACCTGCACACCAAACCTCAGGGATATCCAGGGACCCCCAATGCCAGGGACCAGGCACCCCCAATCCCCGGCACTCCCAGGGGGTCCCGTGCCCAGCTCGGCGCTCCCCCAGCCCCGCCGCCCCCTCCCCAGCGCCGCCCGCCCGACATATCGCGGCCCGCGCGGGGCGGGCCGGCCCGCGGGGGTCTCACCGATGGCCAGGGTGACGAAGGCCACCTGCACGAGCAGGGACAGCCAGCTGAGCGCGTACATGAACCACATGGCGGGGCCGGGCCGGGGCTCTCCCGGGGCCGCTCCCGGGGCGCTCCCGGGCCCCTCCGCCAACACGCGGCGCCGGAACCACCGAGCCGCGGGGCCGCGCTGGGCGCGCCGCCCACAGCGCCCCCTGCAGGCGCGGAGGACTCGCGGCACGGCGGAGGCGGCCGGGCGGGGCGGGGGGACCCCAAATGTGCAGGGACCCCAAATGTGCAGGGACCCCCAGGATGTGCAGGGACCCCCGGGATGTGCAGGGACCCCCGGGATGTTCAGGGACCCCCGGGATGTGCAGGGACCCCCGGGATGTTCAGGGACCTGGGAATGTGCGGGGGGAAGCCCAAATATACAGAGAGACCCCCCAGATATCCAGAGACGCCAGGATGTGCACGGACCCCTATAATGTTCAGGAACCACTAAATGTGCAGGGGGCCCCAGGAATATATAGGGAGCCCCGGAATGTGCAGGGACCCCTAAAGTGCACAGGGACCCTCAAACTGTGCAGGCACCCCTAAAATGTACAGGGAACCCGAAATCTGCGGGGGGGAAGCCCGGAATATACAGAGATCATCAGAATGTGCAGGGACCCCTAAAGTGTGCAGGGACCCCAAGCAGTGCAGGTGCCCCCCCCCCTCAAATTGTGCCGGGACCCCGAAATGCACAGGGACCCCCGAACTGTGCAGCGATCTCGGAACTCGGGGTGATCCCAAAATGTGGAGGAACCCACTCCCGAACTGTACAGAGGTGCCCCCAAACCGTACAGGGACTCCCAAACCACACAGGGACCCCCTAAATCATATGGGGACCCCGAACTATATGGGGATAGCCCAAAACTGCACGAGAACCCCCAAACCTCACACGGACCCCTCCAAACTATACAGGGACCCCCAAGTGCATAGGGACTCCCAAAACTGAGCAAGTACCCCCACAAACCTCTCTAGGGACCCCCCGAAACCACTCAGAGACCCCCTTCACCTCCATAGGAACCCCAACACACCTATAGGGACCCCCACCTTGGGCTGGGACCCCCCCCACACCCCCACAGAGACCCCAAAGAGGGACCCCCTCCCCACCCCACAACTCGAGCAGCCCCTGGGGGGGACCCTCGGTGCACTGGGGCTGTGGAGGGGGGCACTGGGAGGCACTGGGAGGCACTGGGCTGGTACTGGGGGGCTGCACTGGGTGCACTGGACTTCACTGGGATAGGCCAGGGCGGCACTGGGAGGCATTGGGAGGCACTGGGAGGCATTGGGAGGCACTGGGCTGTACCGGGTGGGCTGTGCTGGGTTGGTACCAGGCTGGCATTGGGCTGGACTGGGCTCCCTTGGGACGTGCTGGGCTGTACTGGGATGGTACTGGGCCATACTGGGTT